GGTTTTTTTCTGCCCTGTCGGAGTGCAGGGAAAGCAGCACCATTACGGTCCGTAGTAGTTTCCAAACACGTCCTCATTCATTAGGGGCACTGCTCAATAACTGAAACCAGTAGCCAGATAGAGACTAGGACCACCTGTGCAAAGCGAGGAGAAGCACATAAAAACACAGGGATGGCTGATTAAAAGGATGTTATCATAACAAGGAGTCACTATAACTCCACTCCAAGTGGAAGAACTGATGAGACATGCTAAACCAGAACAATCAATTGACTTGGATGGAATAACACTCATATTACTGAGTCATTTATTGACCAAGCATTTAGCTTATAATGTAAATAGCAAAATGAAAGTCCCTGTGTTGACTGATAAAGTACATTTCGTAAGATGGCGAGATGCTTCTCATGATAAGGTATTTCTTAAAAGAGAAACATATTATTCTTCTATATGCCATATGTCACCAACGTTGTTTGCTCATCGTGGGGTCTCTGTTAAATAATTCTACAAAAAGAAGTAACGTCTGACTGTTCTACATGAAAGAGTGCGCTAAGGTAAACTTCTGTTATGATTTGCGCACCATTACAAATAAAAAGAATTGAAATTCTCACAGAGAGACTCTTTCCAATCAGACTTACATCAGGATGGAAGGAGCATTTATTGTAAATGAGTCGTTATGAAGATTTTGTTCCCATTCCAGCTAGGCCGCTCTATTAATTTACTTCAATCAATTTATCTTTGCAGGATGCAACCTGTCTGTAACCTGGTTTCCTTTCTTCATGCACATGGACTCTCCTGACCTGTCCCGTGCGACCTCCGTCGATGCTCGCAGTTACCATAACTGAACAAGTCTCACAAAATCCTGCGTCAAAAATAAAACAGACCGCATGACAACAAAAGACACTATCAAAATAAAAGCATGGAGGAAGCGGTTATTTTAACAGATCTTCATAAGAATCATTTACAATAAATGCTCCTTCATCCTTGATGTAAGTCTGATTGAAAGAGTCTCTCTGTGAGAATTCAATTCTGTTTTATTTGTATGGTGGCAAATCATAACAGAAGTTACCTTAGGACACTTTTCATGTAGAACAGGTCTAGACCGTACTCTTTGTAAAATTATTTACAGAGACCCATCATGAGCAAACACTTGGTGACAATGGCAAGGAAAAACTTCCTTTTAAGAAAACCTTTCAGAAAGCTCTGCCATCTACTGAAATGACTTATCAGTCAACACAGACTTGTCATTTGAATTAAAGCTCTGGTCAATTAAATGACCAAAAAAGTGTAATCCACCAAGTCATCAATTTGCTTAAATCATTTTTCACTGGTGTTTGAAGAGTACTCTGTCTGAAATCCTAACAGCATGTTTGTTGTCCCGCTGCAAGGTGGTCCTAGTCTCTATCTGGCTACTGGGGTTCATTATTGCAGCAGTGCCCCTAATGAATGAGGACGTGTTTGGAAACTACTACGGACGTAATGGGGTCTGCTTTCCCTTGCACTCAGACAGGCAAGAAAAACCTACTGCCAAAGGATACTCCACAGGGATCTTTCTGGGTAAATCGAAGGAAAAAAGTATAATTTCTTTCACAACTGTTCATTTTACACTGAATACTGATTCATTAAAACAGTCTTTGCATCTTTTTTGTGTTAGTAGTTTAGCACCTGAGTGTACCTTTAAATCCTAATCCTCTTCATTCAAACTGATAACACATTCATGCCATAAAGGGGAAAAAACACTGTAAAGTGATAAATTGCACTACACACTGAGATTAAATACTATAAATCCATATAAGCCATCCTGCCATCTTTGATGTTTCAAGAGCTGATGATCTGATTCTATCTTTAGTGGCATTGTTACAGCATTGCACCTTAAATTGGGCTATTACACAGCAAACACCATGGCTCCATCAACAATGCATGATTAGTCTGGGTTCTTATTACTCAATGTTCTCACTGAGGACCCGTGGAAGTCTGACAACAGTGATGAATGAATTATTGGACAATTCTGCCTAAAATACCAGCATTTACATCACTAGGCTGTTAAAATAATAATCCTGTGAAATAATTCACGAGTTACACAGTTTCACTAGCTTTTCTGTATACATATATGCACATTTTGAATCCATGCATTTAAAATCCATGTGTGTACAGTATCTGTGTTTGTGTAGTGTAAATACTGCACCTGCATACTTGTGTTATTTGCACATTTACGCAGTGGTTGAAAGTAACAAAGTAGATTTACTTAGGTCTTTATAGTATTATTTTGAGGTACTTTCTTGATTACTTCACTACATATAGCTGTAGTCACTTACTTTTCAGATTGGAATACATTGTTAAAGAGTAGTAGTAGTTCCCAACAGTTTTGGCTTGTGACCCCTTACAAAACATCTGTGTCTAGTTTGGGCTCCTTATCACGTTTCAGATGTTTATTATGTTTATGAGCTCCCCTCTAAACGTATCACACAGTTAAATTTATACAATAGTTTGAAGCCCAAAGGGGTACAATGATCCATTATGTCACAAAACAAGCTAAAATTAGAAAAAGGTCCAAGGAATTAAGACTTTACTTAGAATTAATATTTGTTTTTTCTTTTTCTTCATACATCCCACATTAATCATCTCATGACCCTTCAGATGTGTGACTCTTTGCAGGGGGCTCAGGTTGGGAACACATGACTAAACTATTGAAATGTGTATGAATTAATCCAAACTAGCTCCACCTCCACAATCTACAACATTGAAATGATGCTCACGTATTGACTCTTGTGTCATCTATGTATCAGTCACAGATGCCATTTTTCTGTAGAATAACTACTTTTACATTTAGGTATTTTGCTGAGAATACTTTTGTTATTTTAATTAAGCAGGATTTTGAATGCAGGAGTTTAACTTATAATGAAGCATTTTTACATTAATGTATTGATACATAAAGGATCTGAATACTTCTACCACCACTGCATTTAATAGCATGTGCGTTTCTTTAGGTCTAAACCTGGTGGCATTCCTGGTGATCGCCTTCTCCTACTCCAGCATGTTCTACTCTGTCTACAAAACTGGCATCAATGCAACAGACCTGAGGAGCAGACTGCACAGAGATGTGGCCGTAGCCAACAGGTTTTTCTTCATAGTGTTCTCTGATGCCCTCTGCTGGATTCCCATATTTATGGTGAAAATCCTCTCACTGCTGGAGGTGGAAATACCTGGTAAGAAATCAAACAGCACCCTCTTTTTAAGGTTATATTTACATTACATTCCTACAATCACCCTGTCACACAGCAGTGTTCTACTGTTTGAATCCTTAACTTATGGAATAGCATAATAAAAAGCATCCACATGCACGTACTGCTTAAAAATGTGGCAAACTTTGCTCGTGTTCCCTGTGCCTTTAGGTACCATCTCCAGCTGGGTTGTCATTTTTATCCTTCCCATCAACAGCGCCCTGAACCCCATCCTGTACACCTTGACCACCAGCTTCTTCAGAGAGCAGGTGGAAGTCTTACTCTGTCGCTGGCAGAGACGACACACGTTAAAAAAAGACCGCAAAAGCCTCACCTCCTCCACAATCTTGATGGAGATGCCACGGGCTCCTTTCTACCAGCTACCAGCCTACCTCCAGCGGGTGTCACTGACTGGCGCAGATCCTCGGTACGCCTGAGGAAGGCAGGAACTTTTCTGGCACTTTGTAAACTACGGGTCGAGGGCCAATTACTGGTTATATCTGTGGTCCCCTACGTGACGGTAGCACTGGTGTGTTTTAACGAGACTGACCTCCCAGCGGAAGAAACATAACAATCACTGTGCTGTCTCATCATGCTCTGATATGTTCCACATTTGTAGAAATGACCACAATTACACGCTTTTATCTAAAGCACTTTTTTTACCCTACGTATACGCACAGTTAGCACCTTTCGGGTCCTGCTAAAAGTCACTTTGTGTGGGCACGAGGAGCCAGAGATCAAACCGCCCACCTTACAATTAGTGGATGACCCTTTGTACCAGTGGAGCTACAATTGCCCCCATGCTTGCATGCTTGTGTGGCCATACATTTGATATTCCTCCGGGTGAGTTTACAGTAAAGTGACGAAGAAGAGGAGACGGTGAAATAATAAATACCAGCATATACTGTACATCTCGCTGCCACCCTGAGGATGATCACAATGAACTTCTCTTCAAGCAAGAAAAGTACTTATTTTCTAGAATACATAATGTCCCACAGATGTTATGTTTTACTTTAGTGAACCCTTCTTTTGTCAGATTACGGAGCTAGAACAGGAGAGGTAACTGGGAGAAAAGCATCCAAATATCTCTTTTATCTCACAGACACTGTTTTCTATTATTGATTTACTTAAGGATGTCACAGATGTAATGCTCATGAGCCGCTGAGCTGAGAAATGGGTTCAAGGATAAATGGTTTTAGTCCCAACAAAAACAAAGAATGAGTCTTGGACTGCATAAAATGTAGCACTCAAACATGGTTTATGGAATTATGATGCAGACATAACAAAATGAAAATGCAAATCAGCAGTTTTATATGTTTTCATTGAATGTGCACCAAAACAAGCATATCTGAAAACTAAAATCCAGCTCGCATTGTTTTATTTGACCTATTAAAATGCAAATGCAAGTCAATTTTACATGTCATTTTAGTATCTTCTATAACACATTTCAAATAACACAATTGAATGTATGCATTTATTATGCAATCCAAATAATCCATGACATTTGTTCTGCTCTCTGCTTCACCCCTCTGTATTTATTCTCTCTGCTCTTTTGTTGTCGTCTCTTTCTGGTAAGGTCTCTTTGCACCATCAGTTGCTGGGTTTACTGGTGCGATTAGTTTTACTGATGAGATTGTCTTCTGTAATACCCTGCTAGGGAAAATGTAGAAATAAAACTGCAAATGAAGGAGTACATTTGCATTTTAGCATGTGTGATCATGCAAAATTATCATATAAATGCCACAAATGTTATTTAATTAATGAAACAGATCTAATAAAATAAAACATTTACTGACATGGTAAATTGTCATTTTTGACACATGATATTAATGGTTCTGTTAAAGATTTCTACTATCATCAAATGTGATAAGTATAAAAATGACAATATAAACTGAGCTTTTGCATTTTGAATTATGTAAAAATGAAATGTAATTTCCAAAGTGAATGTTACTGAATGAAGAAAAGATTATAACTACCTGTACAAAATATGAGAGAAACAGTCAATGGGAGAAAAAACGTGAGAGAAAGAGACTTAATCATCGACAGTCACTGAATGTTGCACATCAGTTATGTGCAGAAGCAGCTTCCTGTTCCCCACTGACTGTAAACCGATGCCCATTTCCCCCATATTTTTATGTCGTTCTGATATAACTAGTGTAATCTGAATTTTTCCTTACTTGTTTGTCACATGCCATTTTGTACACTCCATCTGCATGTACAGTAGGTGCTCCCATTCATTATAAATCTGAACCAATATGCTGCAGCACGTTGATACCATTGAATCATACTTTTCTTTACCTTTCTTATAACCTGGACTGGATTAAAATGTTTGGTTAAGGAGTACCATGCTGCATTTAATTCACTAATCCAATACATGTTGGATTTATTTAATTCAGTTGTGTTGTCACTGTGCTTGTCAGACATTACTTGGACTGTTCTAACTTTGGTTCATGTTTGTATTTATACTTTTTTATACTGATATATACTGTAGTATGACTTTTTGCTGCCTTTTAACAGTTGCTTTAATTAAATGACAATCATCAGCCAGATAATGGTGAAAGAAGACCAAAACAGGGAGGGTTATAAGTGGAGAGAAGAGGTGGTTTATTGATTGTACAAATTTCTGCAAAGCATACCAAGACGTGGATCCCCCTCTGATGAAATAAGGTCTATCATTTCATATTATACTGTGCAAATGTGCATATGTTTATTTTTGTTGTATAATATTTGGTACAGGAGACTGTTTTCTCTGTGTATGTTCTGTATATCATTGTGTTTGTTGGAGTCGGGTTGGTAAATTTTGTGTTTCCCCACAGAGACGGCTCTTTGACTGAAATAATAAAAAGAGGAGAACAAACATTTTTCAACATTTTTTGTGTGAGCAATAAACTACCCATTAAGGCTACCTGTAACCTAACAGGAACACAGCAAAAACAAAACAAGCGGGGGTGTATTTTCAAAGGAGCAAACCTGACTAATACAACACCCACATAAGCACACACACATACTGATACGAATGGAGATTTATGATTTACAGGACAGTAACATTTTAGCAGGTTATCATTTTATTCCAGATAGAAATAATTATTTGGATTTCATTAAACACTACATTTCTCATGAGTAATAAAAACCTCATGAGTGCTGTTAGTAGTTTAATGCTGCCATACAGGAGGACATACAGGTGGAACTCAGATATTTAATTAAAAGTAGCAATACCTCAGTGCAAAAATACTCTGTTACAAGCAAAAGTAATGCAAAATCATACTTAAATGATCTCTGTAAAAGTAAAAATTGCATAAAAGTAGGCTACAAGTAATGATAATAATGATAATCTTTATTAATAGGGCTAGTTATGCAGAATGGTCCTGTCCAGAATCATATATATCCCTGGATTATTAGTGATACCTTTATGTGTAAGCATGTTGCAGCTGGTAAAGGTGAGGGCTAATTTCAGATGCTCTGTATATTGCTCTGTAGCTAAGAACATCATAACAACATCATAATTCATCAATAGTTATTTATATTTTGTATTAATAATCTTAATCTGCAATGTAAATATTAAGTAATGTTGTCAAATAAATGTGGTGGAGTAAAAAGTACAATATTGGCTTCCAAAATGTAGTGAAGTGAAGTATAAATCTGAAGCATAAAGTAAAAATAAGAACATAAGCTAATCATATAATTACATTTAGAAAATATTAGAAATGTATAAATTAAGTATAGTCCAACAAGTTATGGATTTCGTCATTAAGAGGTTTAACTAATTGGGTTGAGTAACTAAACTACTCATGAGCAATGAAAATGTGTGGAATTTCACCTTATATGATTAAACAGACCATTTAATGATTTTTAAAAAAGCCTCACACACATTTGCATGCTCAAGAGGAGCTGACTATTTAATGATTTCTTTAGCTGCCTGTGTTAAACGCGTCTTTTATCATGGGACCACAACAAACTCTTTCCAATGTTCTTCTACAGCTCCTTCATCAGTTGATTTGACCGCACCTGCGGCGCTCAGCATCCTCCCGTGGCAGGTGTCCTGCCCTTGGACCAAGGTGCGCCCCTAGCGACACGTTGATGGACGCCTCCGCCAACCAATAGGGAGCGAGCTTTGCCTCAGTTTCCAGAACCTTGGCATCTAATTGGTTGCTAGGGGCGGGGCCATGTCATCCCGAGCAGTAGTGCTGTCAGCCGGGGCGGCACGACTCCTGAAGGAGAGAGACGAGACGGATTGATGAAAACAAGCCATTAAAACACATAAACAAAGAACCCGTGCTAGGAAATGTCCCTGTAGCCGACGAGGTCGACGCAGAAAAGGTACCGTTCAGTTTAATGTCGCTTTATCTGCGTGTCTGGTGGCGTTTGACGGTTCTGTGCCGATACAAAGGCAACCGAGCAATGTCTTGATATAACCTCGATATAACTACCACTGGGGGGGGCTTGTACTAGCTCCGCTGGCTATCGGGTTAGCTACAGGCTCAGCTGGTTACAGTGGTCCACACCCGTTTCATGAAAGAAAATGTGAGTAACCCAAACACGCGTCCACGTTCCCTCGGCAGCACTCGTACCACGGACAATGCCGCGTTGCTTTGTGAGGCAGCTGAGCGTCTCGGTGTTGATTGTAAATACACACCGTGATGGCGGTGAGAGATAATGTGCTACACTGCCTGTTAGCTACCAGCTAGGTAGGTATCTTACGTTAATGAGAGAGCACAGAATACATATAATACAACACATAAACACAGTGAAACATAAACATAAAGATAACGTGAATGACTCTCAGTTCCGGTGCCTGTCTGGTACACACGTCTAAAGCCTTTGGGGCCACTCACTGAGGATTAAAAACACAGCCCTCCACGATTGTGACACTTGGATTTGGCCCATCATCCCGCCTGAGTAGCTGTGTGCACTTTTATTGTTGTACAGCTGAGGATGCTCAGGAGTCAGAGTTGAACGTGTTTGCTGTGGGAGAAAGCCAGTGTTGCAGCATGTGTTATTCCCATGCTCTCCTACAGTGTACAGCCACACATAGCACGCCGCACCACTATTACAGGCTCTTTCATTTCCTTGTCATCTGTAAATACGCAGCCACACGTACTGATTTGACAGATTTTTGGTGATGAATCACCGACACACTTTATCTTTCCTCTCCCTTTTGCCTAGTTTTATTCGGGCACCTATTTCAGGCCCTGTTCCCTCCTTATTCCTCCCCCTCCTTCCTCATGACTCAATCAGAGTCCTTCTCCATCTCTCCAGCTGTTTGGCACAGCCAGTCGGCAAGGGGCGACCCAGTTAACTCCATTGTTCTGTGTGTGGACTTACGCTACAAGTAACACACACACAGGCAGCAGGTCATGTGTGCCACAGATCTGTGCTTCCGTGACGTTCCTCCCACTCCTACACACAGTTTATTGTGTGCTCCCAGTTTACGAAGTCTGTGTGAAGGAACTGGTGTCAAAGTATAATGAGTCTGTTCCTCATCTTCATGTTAAGGCAAAGTATTCTCCTAAAGTTGTCCCTGGTTTAAGATAGAAGGAATAACTACAGCAAGAATCCAGTGCAGACACATAGTACTAAAGCATCTTTAAAGAATGTGAAGAATTGGGATTTTCCACTCATTTAGATGTAGTAATCCTCTGTAATCACATGTATGTTGGTAAGCGTGCGGAGTTGTATTATAACACACTGGGTGGGCCACTTCGGCTGCTAAAACTAGTACAGTTTCTGTATGTACCACAGCAAATATAAGTGCCATACGTTCATTTCTTGTTTGTCAATACCAACATGTAGGGTTAAGGAAATCAGATGAGGACAGTTTTGATTAAAAATTGAATGATTTAAATAACAACAAGAAAAACCTGGATTTTATATTAATGGCCCTGCATTTTATAGTTTATCCAGTGTGTGTGTGTGTGTGTGTGGCGTGCGGCGAAAGAGCAGAAACTGTGTTTGACCTCCCACACTGACGCCCGACTGGTGAACCTCAGTCAGGCGGGGGAACTATCTATCTTTCCTCGCTGTCAGCGTTTCCATAGATACCACCCGGCACCTCACTCCCACTGGATTACATAACCCGGTGTTTTCTGCCTGGCACACACATACGGAGGCATCGGTACACACACACACGCTGACATTCCTTGCCGTCACACTCCCTGTCTGACTTTGCCTCAGGTGCGATAGAGAGTAGAGCTCGTTTTGCGGTGTCTTCATGATGGCTCTTCTCCTGAATTTTGCCTTGAGAGTAGCCGAACACTCTTTTACTTTAAATGATCTCTTAAGCCTTGTGTTGACATAACTATATACAGTTCTGGTCGAGAATTAATTCATATGACTTGTGTGTTTTGTGTGTTTGAGTTAGGACTTAAGTGCTGTTAGATTTGATGGAGCTCTGAGGCTGTTTGCTGAGGCATTAGTCTGCATATTAGAGACCCCAGAGATAGTGTTACGTAACACGGCTCTATATATGTATGGAAAGGCCAGTGGGCATACTGTACTGTGTGTTTGTTATGTGCACGGCCATGGGTAGTATTTGTGCATGAATTAATGAATGTGGTAGCGCTTATCCCCCACCTTGCTTACAGAATCCGCCATAATTGACAGGTTTTTTTTTATTAAAAAGTAGATTTAGTCAGAAATGTTCATATCTTTTACTCTCTCAGAGCTGCCTTTCTGTTGCAGTCTAGAGAGAGTTTGAGCAGGCAGCCAAAAGTTAGATGATTTTCCTACCAAAGGAACAGTAGAGTATAAAACAAACAAACAAACAAAGAAGAATAAGACTGCCTGAATCAGGTTTGTGACCAATTGCATGAGCACAATTACTTCTGTAATGGGCTGCAGGGGGCGCCATTGTAGAGCCAGTGTATAAGCCGGCGATGACAGGAGATAAAACGAAGATGAAGGACATTTGACTGATATTATTGTTACCACTACTGTGATCAGCTGTACCAGCAGTGGCAGTAATCATAGTTGTAGCAGTTGGACTATGGCTACAAGTTATGATAGTATTTGGGTGGTAAATATTTAGACTTTAGACATTTCTTATGAGATTCTACATGTGAAAGACATACGATCTTTTCTGTTTATTTCGGTATAGATTATGTATTCATGTTGCCTGAAACTGCTGCCCTAGCTCCAATCAGATTCAAGCGAGGTAAAAAGGAAATGGCCGTTCAGTCTGATAATCAGGCTACTGCCGCCCTGCTACCTGCTGGTGATGATCACACAGAGCATATATTAGCACCACATGCGCCAAATGCCGGTAAAACATGCAAGTGGTTGGTAGATTTACTTCATTCACCTGCCAAAAAACAACGGTCATTTTCGAGTGGTTGGAAAAATGTGAACATTCACCAGGTGGTCAAATAAATGTATATTGCAAGCTGATCACACGTCTTTAGATATCACACATGTCAAGAGGGACATTGGAAAGTAAAAATAAATGAAGTAGACCGGGTTACTGAGCATGTGGGGCGAACTCTTAACGACTGTTAACGTGACAACATATTTGAGTGACAGGCGAAATAAAAGGTTTTTCTGTTGTCGCAGAGGTCGCAGAGGTTGCAATTTAAACAGGTGGAAAGATGATAATCGGAGAAGAAGTGGTTCGTGGGGTGAGGTTGCCTTCGAGTCCATGCAAAAGGACGATAAAATAACAAGACACATACCTGAAAAAGGTGTGTGGTGTCTACTGATGGCCTCTTGTGCAGCAGGCTTAAAGGTGCAATTTGTGCAGTTTGCTTTAAGGCACAATTCATGAACCAAATGTAAACCGTCAGGTAGATCGAATCTCACTCGCCATTTAAAACATAGAAGATGGGCCCGAATTTCAGTCTAGTAGGGTTCGTTACTATTGTCATTCTCAAATAAATGTACAAACAACTTGATTGATGAAGTCGGTGTGTGATGCAGAAACGTTTAGACGAGGAACTAAAGAAGCAAAGGAGATCGTTAATGATAATGGTAAGCGCTAAAAAGTCATCTTGGCACATTCCTTGTGGTTTTCCTCCGACCTAGGCAATGTCTGTGTGGGAGAGGAACTAGTTTTATATTTCAGACAGCGTGTGAGTCTGAATGGCACCACTTTGTCTAAGAGAAAGACGGAGACCATCAGACATGACGGCTGACTGTCGTGGAGTGACTGATGTGATGAGAGGAGAAATTGAGATTTTTCAGAAGGCACAGACAAAGAAAGACGTGCACGGCTGAAGGGGGCACTGAGGCGGGGCCAAATCATAGTCATTAGCATGGAGTTTTCTGGCTAAAAACAGGCCATGACCCTGTGGGTTGTGTGTCTGGGTGTGTCTGGTTGTCCCAATCAATCAAAGCATGTCTGCACAATGGGTGGAAGGTGATGCTTATCTCATAATTCATACGCAGGCTGATTTATGTGCAACATCTGCTTACTAACCCGAGAAAAATGAGGTTAAGATAACAGTCATTTAAAAATATGATTCTCAGTGATGTATGTGGCATGCTAATCAACCATCAAAGGGTTTTTTTGTTGTATGTATTTGAATAATACAATGCATTTATTAGAGGGCATTTATCAGACTTCCTGTCTTATCTTGTCAGCAGGGCACCTACTGTGTTTCACACAGTGTCATCAACTGTACTCACTTGGAACCATGTAAAAACAAGAGACTCATTTACATTACAGAGTTAAATAGAGTGCAAAGGGAAGAATAGATGGGATTATCCTGGGTGTATGATGAGTGACACTGACCGCGTTTGACCTGCAAAGTATAAACAAAACTGACTAATCAGGTCAAGCAAACACGAGAGCGACAAACCTGAGGAGCTTGTCAGAGAAGCGCAGTGGAGGCCATTATCATCTATCTACCACTGTGCAGCCAGAGCTAATGTGCTCCATCAGCATGTTGTAGACTAACATATTCAGTTGAATGAAAGTAGACAAAATGATTAAAAAAAACCCATGTGGTTGAATAGATATGTTTTCTCATTGTCACTGTCTCGTGTCCCACCCACCATCGCCACCACAGCACCCGACTCTTTCTTTGTCAACACATTCCTGAAGATGATTGGTTAACCTGTTTGTTTTTCTTTGATTGGTTGGCCCGAGTTGTCAGTTAATGAAAAGACAAAAACAATCCCCTCGTGTGTGTGTGTGTGTGTGTGTGTGTGTGTCTGTGTTAATACTTGGCTGTTGTACTCCCCTAGGGGACGGCACGCCTCTGTAACTGACTTTGGCACCGTGCCTCCCTGTGCTTGTTTGCCACCCTTAACTATTTCCTTGACAGATGGTTGATGGTGAAACATATTTTAAGAAGCTGTGGCAAACTGTTAAACATTTCAGTTTAATCATCTCACTTAAAATAGTTTCTCTCTCTAAAGAAGTGAGAAAAATGTGTTTTTTCGTTTCATGTGCAACAAGGAATCCCTCAGTGTGAGGCATATTTCTTTTGAGCCAGTGAAACTGCATTGGAAGAAAGCGAGAGTTTCTAATCCTCGTGCCAGATTGCTTCACTCATTTAAACAAAAAATACATAATGAGATTTCAAGCCTGATTAAATGTTGTGTTCATGTGCTGAGCGCATACAGCAGCCCTAACAAAGGAGCACAGACACACTGTCACGATAGTCTTAAACCTGTGTTGTGGTCTTGTGAAAGAGGATATGAAAGTTAGATTGTTTTCGCACCTACGCGCACGGGCTCTCGGGTGAGGCACTCAGTGCAGCTGATGTCATGACAATAGTGGCATAAACAGCAGGAAGTCACCTCAGGGTACGTGTCTCCTGAGGATACCAACTACCCTACAGAGAAAGTGAGAGTAAAATACAGGAGGGATAAGGACAAAATAGAAAAACAGTTTCATTGACTCTGAAGAATTTCTAACTTTCTGATGTGTAAAACGACTTCTATTCACTTTTTGAAAATTGTTACATGAAAGACTTTCGTAACATTTCTGCTGAGAAAGTTTTGCGAAAATTGAGGGAGTGGTTACATGTCTTATTTTAGTATCGAGAGTGATTTAGCCAGAATTAGAGGACCACATGTAATTAAGGCTAGACCAAAACAGTACACTGCACTTCCTGTAAGATTCGATTGTTGTAGATAAGGGGCATGAGGTCATTTAGGGTTTTGAGACCTAGGTTAATTCCTTCCCTTTAAAGGATTGGACCTAGGATGTTTTTGCCATCAAGGAGGACTGTTCCCTAGCTATTGAAGTCATGACATTGTATCCAGTTGTCATTGTTCTCTTTAAACTACTTCCTCAGGAAAAGAGATGAGCATTTAAATGGATATTTTTCCAGCTGTGGAGGTAGATTTAAAAACGCTTAACACTACTACCTCAAATGTACCTTTTAAAGTACATCTGCTAATCAACAACGAACAGCCAGCCTTCACAAAAACCCCTCCTGTCTTTGCCTGTGTTCAGGATTCTTCCTGTTTGTGTTTGGATTTGTTTCCCCCTTCTGTAAAGGGGTGTGTCTGCCCTCGGTAATCCTACACCATTAACACGTTGAGGTTGCTGTAACTGGCTAAACAGCCTCGACCAGTGAGTACAGGGACTCAGGCTCTTACTCACACCCACACGCCATGTGTTGGCTGTCTGAATCAAGCACATGCATACCATTCTACCTTGCTTTGCTACTATGTGAGGCGGAAAGGATGAAACAAGAAGCAAACAGGTGTGTGAGAGAGGACACGAGAAAGAAATAATCGTCTCATTTCCAAACACTCCGTAGTGATGGGAAAAACCCCCAGAGAGAGAGAAAAGAGAAAAAGAAGACAAGAGGGAGAGGGGATAAGAGAACCACCCAAACTTCCCAAACCACCCAATCAAGCTACGTTCTTGGAATTGGATCCCTCCCTCGTTCACCACCTGAGAGCGGAGAAACAGAGCTGTGCCTCAGAGAGCCAGAGGAGTGAGAGAGACTGAGAGAGGAAGAAACAAAGAACAGGTGAGAGCAAAAACGGGGCACGCACCGAGAAGACAGCTGAACTTTTACAAAAAATAAAAGTGCTTCTCAAACTAAAGAAGACAGAGAGATATTTTTAAAGAAAATCTTCAACAAGAGAGTAAGAAAGGGACTCGGGGGGGGGAGAACCTGAACTCTCAGGAGAGCTGTGTATCTGTATCAACAAAGCAATGAGCTCACTTTCTCTGGATTGAATGAACTCGACATAAAGAGAGGAAACCCTTGTGAGAAGAAATTGGATACCAAAATGTGGACAAAAAGAGGATGAAGAAAATGAAAACGGATTTTAGGACTGCCTGAATACTGTGCTTAAATCTTTTTCCAAAGCGTTGCGTTTCTGGAACGAGGTTTCTTCGTTGTTGTTTTTTGTAATATATTTCCGAGTCTTCTGTCGAAACATGATGTAGTAGTGTCTCTCCTTAGCTAGCGTTGGTAGCCCCTTAGCAGAGGGCCAGGTTTTGACCACCAGAAGTGGATAGAGCTCCTGCGGCTCGTAGGGCCGAGAGTGGAGATGTCGCTAGAAGATGTAAGAAGCACCGGGGCTGAAAGCGGCGCTTCAGACCACTGCGATGGCCACTCTCTGAGCCAAGGTCAGGACCAAGATCCGGGGAACCAGAGCCAAGGCCAGGATGGGATAGTTCTGGAGCGTATTGCCTCTCTGTCGCTGGACACGTTTGACCCCAGTGATTTCACTGGAAGGTTTACAAAGATCCAGTCCAGGTCCAGAAAGAGGACACGGATCATCGGAGGTAGGTGCAGACAAACTTGGGATCTTTTTGTTTTTGTTTTTAAGAGGCAATATTAGAGTAAACACAGCGATTATGCTAGGAGTCAGTGACAGGCAACAATTTGGGTCTGTAATAATCTTGGTTTGTTTGAATGCAAATGCTAATTTGTTATGACCGGTTGAACATCCAGCTGAAATAATGCTCCTCAACTCCCCAACTGAATTGTGGGTTGGGTTTTCATCCAGCCTTTGAAAAAGGTTTAGATCTCATACTACCTGTTTGGACCCCCTCTGTCTCTCCATATATGCCATAACAAGGTTGTTCGCGGTGATTTCAGGACCTGACAAGCGTCTTTGTTGTGGCTTTTGTTGACCCTGTGAAAAGTGATACCTTCTGTGTTTTGAGAAAACGGCACAAAAGTACTTCACTAATCCTTAATATTGTACACAATGAGAAAAATACATGCCTATGTGGTTCTGGCCTCAGATGTAAGCACAGTATTTCTCCCCCCCCCCCCAAAACCTCATTCTTTCTCAGCTTACCTTAACTTCTGGGAATTTTATGTCCAAACACTTCCAACTGTGGGAGAATGCCAAGACCTTAAGTTGTCAGTCAAAGTAAAATACAACAAGGCGTATGGTTTAATTTAATAGTGATATTACTTTTATAAAAATACTTAACGCATGTATAATATTTTACCAGACACAGCTGTAGGGTATGCCATTAGTAAACTTGGCAAAGTACCATTAAATAGCATTAGCAGGCTGGTGTTTTAACGTATTTTGAAACAGCATTTTTATTTGTATGAAATCCCCTACAAAATCTCTCACTCCCGACACACAGTTGAAAATAATGGCCTATCTGTGCCTGAACTTGTAACCTTTTAGTTGCAGGATGATCTGCTTAGCTGTGAGACTTGCCCTTTGTCCTTGTCTACTCTGTTAAAAATTACAATAGTATCAGTTGATCTCTCAACGGACAAACAGATCCAGTGGTTCTGTCTATTTTTGGAAAGTCACAGTGAGGTCAAAATCAAAAGGAGGCCTTGCACTTTCAGTACTTTTTCACATTTACAAGCTTAGCTAATGTTATTACCCAGTGAATGACAGTTATGACAGTAATCCTTTATTCCTAAGTCAGCAAAATCACAACCAATAATATTAAGGAACGAGTAGTATGGAAAGACTAAAGAGTTCAAGACTAATTGTTTCTTTACGATAAACACGTGACACTGAATGGATCATGTCGGAGAGACGTGTCAGGAAAAGTACATTAGGTCGAGTAGAGCAGAAAGGTTTCGGCAGTTGTATTGGACTATACATTTTTCAGTGGAATTTGGGTGCACTTCAAAAGAAGAGAGAAACGTGGGCGTACAGTGCGAGAGGAAATCTGGAGTGAGGTAGTGCCTGTGTAACCAAGTACCACCTGCACAAACACGTCTCCCAGGAAAACAGCAACTTCTCAATAAAAGAGCACATAGATTATGACGGTCGAATTGTCGACACAAGAAATGCCACAAAATTAAATATTTTAGGACATCTGTGCTGTGATAATGTGCGTGACCGAGGCCTTGATGTTGGGTAGACAGGTATGCCTGGCATGAAAACTACTGCCACACACACACACATTCTTCACAAGAGTTATCTATTTGATCAACCCAGCTGTGTCAAGGAGACACCACTGTGTGAACTGTGAACCTCAAACAGTCCCTCTGCAGTTGTGTGTGGCTATTTTCATACGTGTGTTTGTGTGTACTCATGTGTTGTGTTATGATGGACCAGTTAACGCCCACAACCACATGTCAGATGAACATAAAAACATAAAAAAGGTAGACGAGTGCCACGTGTTTAGTAGTGTTCTCTTGTTTAACCGATTTGATTTATGCAGTTGAGTCAGCGTCCGAGCTGAAACTGTTACTTAATTCATCAATTAATGGACTGACAGAGATTGACTTGCCAGCCGCTTTGATACTTAAGTGATTGTTAAAGGGCCAGTGTGTAAGATTTTGTGGCAGCAGTGTAGTTGCAGATTGCAACTTCCTTGCTTCCCCCCCACCTTCCAAGCGGGAAGGACAAACCACGGTGTCCGTGTAACACTTGAAAAACATGAAAGGCCCTATCTATAGCCATTGTTTGGTTTGTCTGTTTTGGACTACCGTAGAAACAAGGCAGTTCAACTTGGCGGACTCTATGGAAGGCGACCCACGGCGTCTGTAATGTACATTATATTCCATTTCTGTCAAAAGATCCTCATAAATGTTACTCTCCAGTGTGTCAACATCACCGGGCAGCAGGTCATATCAGCTGTCACAACTTGTAGTTGTTTGTGTGCACTGCAAGCCGGTGTCTGTTCAAGAGACAAAAATGGAGTATCTCTGTAGTCCCAACAAATATACAACAACTTCATTTCCAGCTGATCGCGTGACATTCTCAACCTTCCTCCATATATTATCAATAATTTAAGCTTAAAGTTTTGAATCAGAACCTTCAGTATTAGGATCAGATACCTAATGAAAATCAACATTTATTTAAATAGAAGTATTAGAAAGTGGATATTACAATATTAAAGTAGTTCGGGCAAAAAAAAAACTTGATGGGGATTTTCCTAAAAAAAAAAAAAGAGCCTATCTAATCCTATCTAACATCCGGTGTTTAGTGCATTTCCAGAGACGCGAGACATGATTCATAGGAAAAACGCCTTTAATTTGAGGTCAAATGAAATGCAATGCAATTCATTTCTCATACATTTGTCTGTGTGCGTGTGCGTGTGCGTGTGCGTGTGCGTGTGTGTGTGTGGAGGAGTCACATTCCAACAGCTGGCATGCCCAGGCCCCTGCTCAGAATGTGAGGAATCCTAGGAGCTCCATAAGTGTGTGTATAAGTGTGTGTGTGTGTGTGTGTGTCTTTATGTCCATGATTTTTATTTGTAAACTGAATACATGTGTGTCACTCTGTGTCTAGTCCCTATTCTCATGTGGGTCATGAATTTGAATAGATTTCCATATCTTGTTGCACTCCAACAAACACTCACATGTTTTTCTGTCCAACAAAACAGCTGTCCCCTCTTCGTAGAGAGAACGTCTTATTTACATCTAGAGAAACTGAGGATCATTTACCAAAGAGACAAACGGCCTCTTAATTGATACATTTCTGTTTCAAGAAATGTTTTTCTTACTCTGCCTCAACTGCAGGTTTCCCCTCTCACACAAAAACTACACGTGTCCCGTTTAGCTTGCCCATATATAACAGCTCCCTTAATCCCACAGCTGGCACACACAGCCTTTTAACCTAATGTGAAATGTGAGAAATGGGGTCAACGAACAGTAATCCTTGACATTTTCATGCTTTCTCTTGAGTAAGATGAGTGACCGAAGCAGAGATGGTGGCGCAGTTGAGTTAAGATAACAAAGAACATCAGTCGAATATTATTTAACAACCATCTTTGAGTCCAGCTGCTTGGAGGCTTTACAAAGAAAACTTGCACAGTCACAGAAGAACATTTTGATTTGTCAACTTGGCTTAATTGTCTTGATTTAGTTAAGTCAAAGGCAGAAGTTGCTATTTGCTGTTACTATTTGTCCCAGGACTGAAATGGAGTAAGCAGAAGTTGCAGACAGGAATAGGCCTGCAGTGATTCTCTGCTATATTTCTCCTCCTTTGAGATTAGACAGTAATTGTCTGTTAATGTGAACCAGGCCATCCTGTGCTCGGCAGCTCTCTTGTGAGCTGCAGCTTTGCATGATACTGTATCTTATGCACTTTCCGCTCCGCCCCCCTATCTCATTTTCTCTCCCCTTGCCTCTGTTCTCCCTCCCTTGCCCGTTCACATGTCCTGTGGCACTTCCGCAGTTCATCAAGGGAATTACATGATGACCCTAATTATCCACTTGTACTTCCACTCTTACTCACCCAACCATGATGACTGTCATACCTTTCTGCTTAGACAGACAATTGTGGGGGCAGCCAAAGGAATATGTGACAGTTTAGGATGAAGGGAGATTTATTTTCTTTCACTTGTCTCATTGTCAGAAACTATACTTAAGCCCTTTTTAAAGGATTTCTCAAGAATTGAATGACGGCAGTAGGATGGAAGGTTAATATCAGCCGAAGGGAAGTTGGAAGTAACAAACGAAAAATGGCGTGGAGTGGTAAAACAGTGGAAATGTTAAGTAAGGGACTTACTTAACTCTCAACATCGCTCAGAATAAGCTAATGATATGTAACAGCAACTGACTGTCTTGCTTCAGTTTGATTTCTTAGGCTACATTTCACAGCTCGTTTCCATCTACTCAACTCTACACAACTTAAAACAGCAGAGATGGCCCGCTTGGAAGACACAAAGAATTATACCAGCTGTAGTTCACTCAAATTCATTTGGAACTTGGCAGCATTGATTGATTTAATAACTATATCTGCAGGAGCAGCCAGAATCATACATCGTGGCATAATTGCCAAGCAGTTCATTTAGCCGAGCAGGTTGCCAAAAACATTAACTTTGTATAGAAATTACTTCAAGTCACACAAACAAGTTAATTGCCTGTGCAGCACAACCTTATGTGACTGCTGTCTTTTCATCACTGGAATCATCGTCATTTATTTCTGCTGTTGCTGTAAAGCAAATGTTCTGATAAATCGTCCAGGCCTTTATACCGGCCAAAGTAGCTTATTGCAGATGTATCAGTACCAGTGTTTATGTCGGCCAATACAAAAAATTCCAAATTATGTTAGAGGTCATTTGGAAAAAGTGTCTCCATTACATCATTTTGTCCACCAGAGACCACTGACAAGCTGATTTTCTCAACTAGTGCTTAGTATATATCTTGGTTACCATTCTTCAAAGAAAAACTAAGGGATGTTGCTTATGATTTGCAATATAACTATTGGCTGATGTACCGTTATCTGATTATTTAAACTCCCAAATATCAACTACAGTCGTTACGATACCATTATCAGAACACCTCTAATATCAATATTGGCGTCAATCTAAAAATCCAGCATTGGTTAGGCTGTAATACTGGTGAG